TATAAATATATGTGTTATAAAATAATAATTATCCCTTTACATATAGGAATAACATATATTATGTACAGCTGTGTTCTATATAGGTGCATATTGTATATAATATTAATAATACATAGTATACCTATACATTCTCTCTAGGTACATACATAGATATAAACATGCTCTGCATGTCAGCAAATAAGAGTTTCAAATAATCTGTATCAAACAGATACAGCTTGCTGACACTGATGTTGTAGCTGATGTTCTAGAGAATGACACTTCAGTGGGAAATAATAAAACTAGGTTGGATGAGTAAAGCCTTACCTGGTTATTGGGCTTTGTTGACAAACATTTTCCAAAATACAGTGTTTCTTTAGCACAAAGACTGCTACATGCTGACCCATCAATAACTCCAGTCTTGTATTTATCACACTGAAACAAACAGGGAGAAAAATATTTAACAAATTGCCCAACAATTGTATCTCTCCCAACATCTTACTCTTGTAAAAAGAAAATCTAAGAAAACAATTTTAATAACCCTAGACCAAAACAATGTTAAGAAACATCACTGGTTTTATCTGTAATTGAAGATGTAATCTTACTTCAACATGATAGAATATCAGATTTTGATTAATTTACATGTGGCACTGACTGAATTGGCTGTGGAATTAGTCAGGACAAACACTTAAGAAAGCTATGCTAAATATACTTACTATTATTTTCCTACAGTCATGTCCTCTGCATAGTTCTGTGTAGGTGGAGTACTGAACATACATAACCCAGCTGCCAATAAATACTACTAACCAAGAGATGAAGAGATACTTCATCCGCATATATGAGAAACGTACCTAGAGGACACAGAGAAAATATACTTTTTAATTCATTCAGCAGTAGTCAGAATGATAGAAAAAACCCACGATTTACTATTTCACCTTTAAGAATTTGACTTTGACAGTGACAAAATAAGCAGACTGCATTACATGGAACATTTGCTTCCCTCGATGAGCAAAACTGACAGGGGAGATCAGTTTGACTTACGTAGGTGGAAGGAAAATTAAGATATAAACAAATAAAATAAAATGTGACAGACCCTCATAGGGCAAGCCAGGCTGCAAGAACCAATTTGGTCAAAATCATAAACTGTCAGAGCTCAACTACTTGCATTTTTCTCTAAGACCAGTTACTTATGTTCCACTCCTGGTAAACTACATCCAACAGACCAGGAATCTGGTCAAAAAATAATCTATGTTCATGTATAAATATGCACAATAGACATACAATGAGCAGGGTGGGTATCAGGGGACAGGTTGCATGTGCTGAAGTATCCCACTCCTTCCTTGAAATGACACCATTTAATTATGCCAGTAAAATTCCTCTATACTAGCTTCACCTTCAGTGGTCTTTCCCATAAATGTATGCAAGACTTTCCTGTTGTTTCTGTGGCCTCACTTGTACATTTTTCACTAGGGATAGAGGAGGAAGTATTTATAAATTAGAAAGTGAAGGAGAGCTATGTGCCTTGTAAGGGAGGAAGCATGTTTTGATCTTTTTTGGGTTTTTTCCTCCTCCAAGTCTGGTATGCTAACAGTTTGATTTTCATACATCAGGATTAGAAAAGAATTAGAAAGTGAGGATCAGCTTTAGCAACAGGATATAAGGAAAGTCCATGAGAGCAGCTGTATTGGGTCAGTATGAGATCCATTTCTACTAGTATCTTGATCCTCAGCAATAGCTATAAATAGATGCCATCAAAGAGTGAGAACATATAATATATATCCCAAATGGGCTCCCATTTTCCTCTAAAAGAACTTGCTAAGCCAGTTGTGATTTTCTATATTTAGTAAGTCTCAAACCATTTATCTTTCATGAACTTACCCAGACTCCTAAAAATCCACATAAGCTTTTAGCTTCCACAACACCCTTTGCAATTAATTCCACCAGTCTACTATCCACTGGACTGGGGTCAGGGACTGAACTTTATTTGCTTAAACCTGGTTCATATTAGCTTTGTTTGAGATGTCCTGGTTCATGTATTGGAAGAGATGAGTTATCAATTTCTGTCCACTCTCTCCACATCTGTCATCATTTTGTGAGCCTCCATCACATGCCTCCCTGCCATGTCATCTCTTTCCCAGATTGACAGGTCCTAACTTAGCTATTCCTCATAGAAAAATGATTCCATGTGTTTGGAAAAGGTACCAAGAAAGGTAGTAATGATGAGCAGTTTTGCCATTGCATACATACATACCAAGTTAACCCATCTCACACATACTAATTTCAGATGTTTCCATCTGCATGGGACAAAAATGCATTGAAATAATTCCAAATTACTACAATTTGATAGTAATTATCTTAAATCACAGTAAATTGAATACATGTCTTCAGCTATTAAGTATTTGATATTTTAGGAAAAAATGTTACAAAAGAAAATAATATTCCACAAATATAGGAAGATCTTCAAAGATCCATTTCCCTTTCTAAATATGTTATTAATTTATTTTTAAGGCAAGTAAGGTCAAAAGAAGCAGTTCTAATCAGTTGAATGGCACCTTGGTTTAACACCTATCACAAGAACTGACTTTTTCAAACCTTAACAAAAGTAGTATAATCCCTAGGTACAGGAGTCCTACTCTCAACCTGGAATGGTTCCAACTCTTCCACCATAACTTATCTTGTGATTCCAGGTATATGTTCACACAGGCACTCACTCCATCCGAAGACTAAAGAGGAGGTGTATCTTGAACCCATATAGTTCTGTAAGGAACAACAAGTCTCAAAGAGAGGCAGGAATGCAAGAAATAACACAGAAAAACTGCTAGGAAAGATGATGCTATATGCCTCAGCCCTTGATTTTATATCCCATCACCATTCCATTTTATAGCATAACAATTTTAAAAAATAAATGGATAAATGTGAATCAAGGGGAAGGTGCACAAAAGGTATTTTAACACTTTTAAATGTAGAAGAGCAGTGCCAAATTCCATGTGACTCATTATATGAGAAAGACCGAGAGCCTTTTGGCCATATTTTGAGAAGTGGGTAGACACTCCTTAATGCTCAAATGACCCTAAGATACAATGCTGTCAAAGTCAAAGGCCTCAGTCCAAGGAAATCTTAATTCCCCCACCCCCCACCTCCCCCAACAAAACCACCAAAAAGCCCAAACTGAATAATGCAAGAAGTTAACCCAACAAGTTACACAGAAAAGCAGGAGCATGTCGGTATGGCCTTTAAACAGTTCTAGCATAAGTATTTCTCATGATGCTTTATGTCCCTTCAAAACACATCGTACTATTAAAATAGTCTTTTAGTTCCAAGATGCTAATAAATATGTATCCACAATATCTGCAAGAATGTAATTTTAAATTTTTTTTAATTTTTAAAATTTTTTAAACTGTTTTTCAATTTTTATGAGACTAAGCAATGTTTTATTATGAAAAATACAGAGTTAAGCTGAGAAAAATAAAATGGAAAACCTAATACTGCTTCAGAGTGAACTCTCAGCCACAAGCTGAAAGCTTGGAAGACTTAGGGAGGGAGACCTGGGAGGGGCAGGAGGAAGTGGGTTCCAGAAGATGGCAACAAGATGAACAATATTACCTAGCTTTAAAATGGAGGGAAAACACAGAACTGCAGCAGATGTAAAAAAAAAAAGCTGACTCATTTAACTAGAAAGACTACAATAATTTACAAGTGCTTATAAAAATATGACAAACAACCAGCATGTTATACCCTTTCCTCTTAAAATACATAATCCAAGAAAAGTCAGTTCCAAAACACCCAGAGGTGATTCCAATCCATGCAGCTGCTGTCCTGCTATATGCCTCAGCTGTGCATGCCTTTTCCTTCACTCCTTCACATACACTCGACTTGATCTTAAAACTACCTAGCTGAAAGAAGAGATAGATACAGCAAACTGATTTTATTCTGGTGATAAATCTTGACGAGATAGTTCCTTCAACCACTTCTTTTAATGACTTTTTTTTTTTGAGTGTTGTAAGACAGGAATAATTTCTGCTATTTTCCTCAGAGCCACAAAGACCTTAGTTGGAGTAACATGTAATTTCCTCTAAAGCATGGTGTCCACAATATGGATACAAACTGGATGGAGTACAAAAGCAGACCGACAATAACGCTGTGTACTTTATACCACATTTAGAAACAGCTTAGAAAATGTATGAGGAAGCTAGGGGTAGGGAGGATGAAACAGCCAAAAAACCAAAACTGACAGCAAGGGGCTGAGGAGTATCAAAAAAAGAAATACCATACATAAGCCTTTCCCATTGAAAGACCACTACTAAAATGACAGAACTACAAGACTTTTAGTGCAATTTCCTAGGTTTAAAAAAACAGAAGACAAAATACCACACCTACATGCTTACAACATGAAGAATCACAAACTTTCTTACAAACTGTACTACTTGAACAGACTGATGAAATGCAGTAGAAGTCATCCTACATGTGTACCAGCAATAAGTAAGAACTGATACTTTACCAACGGGTTCACAAATGCTTCTCCTGCCACTACTCCCTGCAGAAGAGAACTGCAATTTTAGTTCAAGCTCAGATGGACTCAGCTTCATCTATTCTTTCTTTCAGACCATTTTCTGTATTTAGTCATTTACAATTTTCACTTAATAGTTTTTTCTTTCTAGTACCCATCTCAAGCTGTTTCTTAGCCAGTCTTAGCATTCCACTCTTGAACCACGTGTTATCCGCTATTTTTTTTTCTTCCAGTTATTTCCAGTCTATTTCCATCTGATTCTACAACACGGGCCTCAGTTCCAATCTTCCTCCACTGTCTTCCATTCTCAACTAAGTTTCCAGCACTACTCAGTGCCTCATCCACTTCTTCAGTTTCTCCAGCACAAATTTCCTATTTCAGAATCTTTGTCCATATACAAAATGCACTGACCCACAAGCATCCTTCTCTCACAGCTCTCTGAAGCCAACAAAAATGGTATGGCAAAGTACTAAGAGAATGTCTCTCTCCCTGTTCTCACTTCCAGAGCCAAAGGAAAGCTGTAAGCAGGGCAGATGGATTCTTGGCATGGTTTAGTTCTTACACCCACACTACACAAAATAAAACAAAACAAAATCCCCAGCAGATCTGTCCCAGGAAGCCCAGGTTACCAGCCTTGAGGCAGCCCTCCAGCAGAGGTCTCTTGAAACACAGTTTTGAACTGAGAGGTGAACCAAACCAGTAGATCAAATACATTTAAGGTCCAGGATTGAGGAATTGCCTGATCTGGATCAGTTGTGAGCATACAAACAGATTTTTCTCAGTCCGTCTAGAGAACACAACGTGCTTTTGCTTTGCTACTTTCATGCTTCTGCTGGTTGAAGGACAGATGACGTAATGGTTTTAGCACTTACAAATAAAAACTACTATAGTATAGTCATGCAGGTTCAACGTTTTCTGTAATAATTTACTTAGTTTTATTTGTTCTTATACCACCTAAAACCTCATGGTTTCATATCCTAGAGTTTAATTTTTTGCTGGTTTCAACATAGTAATAATACCAATGAGTGCTCTGTAGTACAGTTCCTGAAATTATCTAACTAGGTGAGTCATTCATCTATTTTTACTTCAGCCTAACGTTTCTGTAACTAGATGCAGCATCAAACAGAAAGAATTACCTTCTTTGCCTTTCCAAACACAATGAGATACAGCAGCATCTGAAGAGAGGTACAAAAACTATTTGTAATTAAAGCATGATATTTTTATAAAATCAGATCATATTCAATTGATAACTATGCAATAAAGGCATGTTCACTAGTTTTTTGTACTCATCTTTTTGTTGGGATTGACTTCTAGTCAACTGAGCAAACAGCTACCCATTATTCT